ACTCTAGAGGATCCCTTTCCAATCTTACAATAAACGTTATTGATGGTTGAGTCTGCTCTGTTTTGAGACCACGTCTATGAGGTAAGCCAGAATTTCAATGGTTCTCACTGTTCAGAAGGCTTACATCACACATCAGTTTTATGATTGAGAAAGTTTTTTTTATAATGTAAAAGTTTTTTTCGTACCTAAAACTAATTTACTACAGGTAACTAATTGGAATGATACAAACTCCACCCCCCACAAACATCATTAATTTAAAACATCTTACTGTACTTACATGACACTGTTTTATCATTGGAGCAATTCTAGTCAATTTCTAAGAGAAAACAAACAAACAAATAAACAAACACAAGGCAGCACGAGAGGACATGCTTACTACATCTGAAACACTTTGTTATTCCCTATGTTGAATGAGTTATTTTGTGTAGGGGTCTGAAGGCTGACTTTGGGCAGAATCTAAAAGAAAACACGACATCATGGCATTCAAAAATTTACTTAAAAGCTTCTTAAATTTATAGAACATAATTACCCATAACAATTAAATCTAATATTCAGATGTGTGCCATTTTGTAACTTAGTAAAATTGCAAAAAAATACATTTTTTGGCTGACTTCAGGGAATGTCTAGGTGCAACCAAGAAATGTAACAGGATGTAAGAATTTTAAAAGATTGAAGATTTATGCCAAAATATTTCCTTGAATATACAACTAACTTGAACTCTAAAGTCATAATTCTATGAGTGCAATCAGGATGAATATTTGCAAAAAAACAAAAAGGATGGTTCCATGTCAATATTTTTTGTTGAGAATATTATGGCACAGCAAGTCTAGATGTTATATGAGCATTGTATCATCGAAAACATGGGGTAATGGAGTGCAACCCCGGTGAAACCCAAACCCCGGTAAAAATCCACCCCGGTAACCCCGATACTTACAAACCCCGGCAACCCCGGTAAAACCCAAACCTTCCACGGGGTCCATGAAGAGTATAAATAGAACCCCGCAAAGGTGAGTCTAATCAGACTGAAGAGTTCAAACACGAACGAAACCAGTCACTGATAATCAGGGATAACTGGTCGCACAGCCAATCTTTATCTCTTATACAATTTGATACATGACCTTGCAATACGATACGCGTAAAAAAAATTGATGTGCATTATTACTAGTGCTGGGTATTGCCAATCGTGCGATACAGTACGTATCGCGATATTACAGTCACAATATGATACATTTTATCTTTAAATTCTCAATATATATCAACTTATAACTGTGATTTTGGTAATGTAGTTGATAGAAGTGATTAATGTTCAGTAATTTCAGTCAAGTCAGTGAAAGAAATGTGTGATTGTGCAAAATACTCCAGGAATATTTAACAGAACTATGAATTTTTTGAGGTGTATTCAGTATGCACCTTAGAGATTACTGTCATAAAAGATGGTATATTTTGAAAATTTAACGAATTAATCAAATCAGAAGTTTCAATCTCTAATGCAGTGATTCTTTTGGTGCAAACGAGATAATGTCAAAATAACAAGATGGAGTTTTTAAGAAATTATAATAGATATTAAATATTTGTGAAAAGCAGTAAGATTTATAGCTAAGAAGTTGGTATGATAAGGTGTACTGAGGTATACATCTTCACAATGTCAAGATATTACAAATTTCATCTTCACGATATCAAGATATTACAAATTTCATCTTCACGATGTCAAGATATTACAAACTACATCTTCACAATGTCAAGCTATTACTAACTACATCTTCACAATGTCAAGCTATTACTAACTACATCTTCACAATGTCAAGATATTACAAACTACATCTTCACAATGTCAAGATATTACAAACTACATCTTCACAATGTCAAGCTATTACTAACTACATCTTCACAATGTCAAGCTATTACAAACTACATCTTCACAATGTCAAGATATTACTAACTACATCTTCACAATGTCAAGCTATTACTAACTACATCTTCACAATGTCAAGATATTACAAACTACATCTTCACAATGTCAAGCTATTACTAACTACATCTTCACAATGTCAAGATATTACAAACTTCATCTTCACAATGAGGTTTGTAAATGCAGGTATTTGATTGGATAGTATGTTAGCAAATACAGCCAATTAGAGCCCTTGATAGAAAGCTTGTAAACAATAAGCCATAATGTTAACATTATTTCTGTCGAGACATCTGATTGGTTGTATTGGTTGGCGTACAATCCAATTCAATCACTGTATTCTGTGATACAAGAAAGATGGCTATTGGGATCAGGGACCAGGATATAAGACAAAATTCGTAATAGCTTGACATTTTGAAGATATGGCACATGAATTTGTAAAAAGTAGAAAGATTTATTAGTAAGAATAAGATAATATAAGGTATAAGAAGGTACATCAAGATGTTTATGTTGTATTTCTAGTTTGAAAGAAGCAGACTATCTGTCAATCACCTGTTTTTACTGCACTCTGTTTCTCAACGTTATTATACCTGTTAGAATTGTTCAAAGTCTTCACCCACACACTGTTGAGTTTCCGCAGTGAAGGGGGGAGGGTAGGAGGTGGGTTAGAGGTTGTTTAGGGACAGAGAATTGTCAATGAAACTAGAGAGTAGATTGGGAAGCAGGGAAGGGGGGTGGGGAGGGGGGGGGCAGCCTAAGCCAGAGCAGCGTCAATACCCCTTGAAATGCCACTGCCCCCATGTCTTGACAGAGTTGAATTTAGTCTAGAGAATAAGAACTCTTTCATGAAAATGTTAGCATTCCATTCATTTGATTGTTCAATCACTTTAATCCATCAGTTTTCAGTTTAATCTGTCTACAGATCTATTGAATCTATTGTTCTATATATTCAATCAGCTGGTAGACAGGATCATTGTGAATTTAAGGTCTGTTTTGATGTTTCTTTGTTTTCTTTCAATATATTTTCAGAAGGCTATCATCATATTATGTAAATTATTTTATTCTTGTCTTTTCAGATTATGGATGAAACAAATACACAAATAACATGGCCGTCCAAATTAAAAATCGGTGCAAAATCAAAAAAAGGTAGGGTTTATTTATTTTCAGTTTATATGCTCTGTTTCTTGTTGAACTTAAAGTAATCCTAAAGAGATTCCATATCAGTCTAATTGAAATTAGATCCAGCTTTCATTTTTTTAGCTTTTATTTCTAATATAGTCACTTCAATTAGAATCTAAAGACTGGCCTCTTAAACATTTGTCAAAATAACCTTTTGACCTACCGGTAATCTGATGACATCTGCATTAACCAATCAAATTCCTTCACTCTCTCACTTAATGCCAAGGCTGGAGAAGGCAGAAATTTGATTGGTTAAAGCAGGGTTAGGTCAAAGGGTTTAAGTTATTTTGAGTCCAGTCTTCAGACCCTAACTGAAGTGGCTATACTAAAAATAAAAGCTGATAAAATACGAAACGAAATTTTGGTCTCTTATTGAAAATTTACACTTACAGCTTTTTTGCACAACTTAACATTTCCCACCTGTCTTCTGTGGTACAAGGAATTCTGTAAAACAGATGGATTATATTCAACAACATGCCTGACCTTGATTTTGTTGGGCGTAGTTATATCAATGGAGGTTAACTGTCTTCATGTCTGTTTCTATATCAAAGTGTTAAGACTGCACAGCACATCAGACACTTAAAATTGTGAGATTCCTCAACCAAAATGTTTAAAAACAACTGTAATAGTAAGTGTTCAAGGGATTGTAAAGAGATTTTCTAAATTGTTTATGTGTATCAGGGACACTGATAGCATCAATTTGCACCATTCCAATTTTCGATCAGACTTATGTACAATCCCTTTAAAAGTTAAAGTTTCAAACGTACAATTTAGTTCATGAGATTTTTTAAGACAATGAGGGAGGGGAGAATAAGTACCATACCCTCTCAACTTCTGAACTAGTTAAAACAGTTATGAGTCAATATGTACTTATTTCTGAATAATGATTAGTTAAGAAATTAAGAGTAAATTAGCTATGTTGATGATGGTTCCTAGTGTGAAGGGATTGGCCTCTTCTACAAAACAATTTGTTATTAGTTTCTAATTACTCTATCAGGTTTTATGATATTTGTTTAGGGAGATGAAGGTATGTAACTGATGATAACTATGGTGTGTGTGTCCCTTTAAGGGACATGTATGAGTTAATGTACATGATAACCAGCAGCTTACAGCCAAATTTTTGAATTGGCATGTTTTGTATTTGGGATAACATCTTTACTTCAGAAAAGGTTTAAGCACAAGAGATCACCAATTTCTCCAGTTTGATCTTTAAGATGGAGTAAGGCTTCAAAGATTTTATCAGTCTGAAGGGACAATTAGCATCTTACAGCAAATCCAGTTTTTGGCACAATCTATGTACGAAAGCATCTTTTAACCTATGAACTGGCAAACTTTCTATTTGGGATAACCCCTAGAAAAATGTTTCAAGGTACAAGAGATTAAGGATTCTCTACAGTTTACTTTAAAATGGAGTAGGGAGAACATTTATGAGTTTATTATTAATGCATCTGCCAAGGAATTTATAACAAATTCTGGGATAGCACCTAGAAAAGGTTTGCAAGGTACAAGAGATTACCAATTCTTCAGTTTGAACTTTAAGATGAAGTAAGGAGTGTCAGATGGATAATGTTTGTTGTTATTATGATCATTGTGTGGTGTTGTATAGAAATAACAGCTGGTCACAATCTCATTAGCTTACAGGTTTCTTCTCTCCTCTTCTCTCCACTTGTTAATTATTAGACACATTCTCTGATAGACATAGAACAGGTAGATTTTATAATGTTAGGGCTTGTTAGTCATATAGTAGCTTGAAAAGAGCTTGGAATTCTTGTATCTAAATTTGAAATAAATTGAATCTATGTAGTTTTGCGTCATACTCTTTTGCACTTGATTGGGTTAATGAAGACGGGTTTCTAAATTCAGAGGGGGCAGGCGTCCCCCCTCGCAGCCCCAAAAGCAACTTTTTTGGGCAAAAATCTCATAACTAAGTTAGAAATTCAGGCAACCTCAGATATTTCGCCCCTCCTCAGACGTCAACCTGGCTCCACCACTGATGTCAACTCAGTACCCCTTTCAGAGAGACAACATAGCTAAAATTGTAATATTAATATTCAGCATCAACCATTTCACTGGCTCAATAGGAACTCCCATGGGTGTCTTTAGAAAAGGGAACGTGCTTATGCTCCAAGAACACCAAAGCATGTCAACTCAGTTTCCCTTTCAGAGAGTCGACAGCTTATATTGTAATGTTGATAGTTCTTACTAAGAAGTAAAATCAGCATAAACCATTATACTAAATGTTTCTACTTCTGGCATCCGACCAAAAACGACAACTGTTGAAAGTCAGGTGGTAAATAAACATTTGATTTGAATCCAACTTCTGAGAATATTAAAGGGGTTCATTTGTTGTATTCTTCTTTTAATATACAGTGTGCGTTATTAGTAATGCAGGGCATGCTTACTCATTTGCCACATAGAATACCATGGGCGGACTGAGAAAATAGACCAACAGATCAAAAGGTATCACAGGTCGTACGACACTGATTACAAACAGTTTTAAAACAAGTATCATTGCAATCTGCTTCTGGAAACAACTATAAAATCATTATTCATTGTTGGGGCAAAATGAGGTTACAAGATTCTAAATATTTTAATTTTTTGAACTGTACCCTGTTCATTTACAGACTCTAAAAACAGATTAGATTAGAACAATTTCCTAAACCCCAGACCCCTGACGCAAAATTTAGTAACCTCTAATAATGTAGTAAGGGGAGCCGAGGTGCTCGTATGACCCTCCCCTCAATGATATCAGTTTTGGCATGTGGCCTGAATGCCACATAAGCTCTATTTTGGTGAGTAAATCTAAGATATGTCCACAAAAAATGAAAGAATATCATACTGTACAGTATTATTGAAGAGAAGCTTGGCCAAGATCTTCTGATGGATAAAACTCTATGTTGTTTTCTATTAATTATGCTACTTCTGAGGAAATGAAATTAGTTCTGTGTTTGACATGACATGATTTGAGTCTGATAAATTGAATAAATCAATAAATTATTAAAAAGAAGAACAAGTATTAGTAGGTTAGTAGATATAGTGGTCCAGATCCTTGGCAGCCATATTGATTTGTGTACCCTAACAACCAAACACCAATTGTTTCCAGCATTGATGACATTGTAAGAATAATAATTCAGTATTGAGGATGTTTTTAATACAAATATTTTGATATTAAAAAGCCTCTAAACAAATCAATTAGCTTACCTGACTGCTTTATGACTTAAGAATGGTCTTTTATTTTTGGCTATGTTTAAGTTCTCTTCACAATGCTTTGAAATGAGTTTGTGAATTTCATTCATCTAAGCGTTTTATGAAGTCATTATCACAAAGGCAGTGGCCTTCTATCGGGGGGCAGACTGGCCAGACTTTACCCCCGCCCCCCCCACAAATTTTTTTCATTTTACATAGTGAAAGAATGGCCTGTGGCCCCCCTGGAACATTTTGTTGCCCCTGCTTGGCCTTCTCACCTAATGTTTCCTAGAAACGCCACTGCACAAAGGCCCTTAAATATCACTAATCACTAGCAGCTTCTGTAATAATGATGTCATACAGTGATTATTTTTATTGAAATTCCAAGAACCTTGGACGTTTGATTAAAAATTGAAATGGTGCAAATTGATATTATCAGTCTCCCTGTCTTTTAAAAATTTTAAACAACATCTTTACAATCCCTTTAAGCAATTTATCCCTATAAAGATAATGATTTTCCACTAGGGATGTGTTCAATGTAAATATATCGAATATTTTATAATCATTCACTAAAAATCGATCAACTTCCCTGACTTAAAGAATAGTTTTTTTTGTTCGCTACTTTATAAAATGTCATCATAATTTTATGACCTATTTCATGTTCATAGTAAACAATAAAAGATACACTACATTTCTGTGGGCTTGGTCAAATTGTCTTCATTGCTTGCGATGCAATTCAACTCAAGAATAACAGGCTTTCAACAACTATATTAAGAGCAGACTTGAAAATTCCGAAGCAGAAAGCACATAACACTTAATAATTATTGTTGAGATTTCAAGTAGCTAGAATTGTTATTTCAATCAAATGGGAATACTATAGAATATGTAACCTGTTCAACTATTCTTAAAGTTTTCTTATTCGGGTGGGGAGGGGGAGGGAATGGGGGTTAGGAGGCGCTGTGATTTGGACTCTTGCTGAAGGTTAAGGTTTTTTTTTTTTGCAAGTTTGTTTTTTTAAATTTTGTATGATTCCATTGATAAACAGTGGTGTTTATTCTATTCAGTTGTGTCAGTACATATTTAAAAAAAAGGGTCATTTGTGTCGTCTGGTGTGAACTATGTTAATTCATTCATATTTTACAAACTTGATTTCATTCATAAGATATTGATCACTATGATAGTTATGTTATTAATGTTAATGTTAAGAGGCCATTATATTTTATGTTCTACTGTAGTTTGACTAATAAAAGTCTTACAAGTATTAATATGTTACTTATTGTCTGGTATTATTGAATGAACAAATGAATGAATGAAGGTATGAATGGATGTATGAATGAATGAATGAATGAATGATTGAACAAACAAATGAATGAATATATGAACAAATGAGTGAATGATTAAATGAATGATTAAACAAACAAATGAACAAATGAATGATTGAACAAACAAATGAATGAATATATGAACAAATGAGTGAATGATTAAATGAAAAAAATAAATGAATTAATGACTGGATGAATGAATAAATGAATGAATAAATAAATGAACAAATGAATAAATGATTGAATGGACAATTTGTCTTATTTTAATGCTCCACTACTATTTTATTAAGCACATAATTACTTAACACTGACCTAATACTAATGTTCTTATTATTGCCCTCTCTTAGTCTCTTAACTGAACTAACCTCACTGGACCTTGTCACCTTCTGTCATTGGTCAGCTTAGTGAGTTGTCAGTGAGTTTCATCACCTATCCAGTCAGTAACTCTACTTTGTCTTA